TATAATATTCAGTCCAAAAAATCAAATTCCAACGATGAGCATCGACATGTTGTTTTTGTCAAATCTAAGCAATCAACAATTTTTATTGCTTGATGTAGTACATTGTGGATATGTTACACAAATTTGTTGACCGCGACTACTTTGGTTGAGAACTAATCTTTTTTCGAAAACTTCATCTAGCTTGATGAAGTGATGCAATGAGCAATGTACATGAGATAAAATAAAGACATATTTGCGATTACATTTACAAAATTATTGTATGCAAATTTTACAAGAATCAGAAGAGTTGTTCATTCTTCTTGCTCCTCTAAAATGAATGCCCGTAACATATCTTCTAAACTTCTATTGGCTGTTTTTGTTTGACCATGAGTTTAAGGATGATAGTTGATGATATTGATAATTTTGTTTTGAAAAAAATTACAAATTTTTCCTAAAATAAAATAGTGAAATGAGTAACTCTATGAGTGACTAAGACTTTGTTTAATATATGATTCACAAAACGACATCTAAGTACAATTGAGCGAGTTGTGGAGTCATTATTGTTTTTGTGGTCGATTTAATATGAATCATCTTGCTCAATTTGTCCACAAAAATTATCATTCAAATCATTTTGTAACAATGTGGTTGGTAACTCACATACAAATTCATGATGACATGTTTTCATTGTTGACATACAATACAACTTTGAAGATAAACTCCACATCTTCTCGTAGTTTGAAGAAAAAATGAACTGGTTAGATGCTTTTGAAGGTTTTTTTCCTCCCACATGTTCCACAATAACTGTATCTTGACTTTTAAATAAACTCATTATGTGTAATTCTTGATCTTGCAAAATCCATATTAGTTGTTTGTAGAACGTTAAACCTCTAACTTTCTCAGCCCTTCCACTTTGTAGTGCCATCATGATCTCTTCATCCTTGTAACATTAGAGTTTAGAGAGAAGCTCATTTGAAGATGAATGATATATTTTGAAGATGAATAGCTTGAATGATTCTACTTTCTCTTATATAGATCTTTCAAACATATACACAAAGATAAAATATTTTTTCCACCATCCAATAAAATACTCATTTTTGCTTCAATTCTTACAACATCATTTTTGCAATTTGAAGAATATTCACTGTTTGAAAATTCTGCAGAAGTATTTTTTGCATTCCATTCCACAAAATGGTAGCACTTTCTTCTGAAAACATTTGTTTTCATGTCATGTATCATATGAGACACTTATATGTAAGATAAGATCTTATGAACATTCTTACAATATAATCAAAAACATGAAAATCTGATAAATGAATATTCATACTCATAATCCATTACTCTGAAATCCTTATCGCTCTATTCCCTTTGTAAACTTCCACCTTACATGACTTTCTCATTCAAAACAAAAGATTTGTTTGATCTTCAATCTCTTGAAGACGGCACCTATTTGACTCTACTACATCAATATGAATTGGTTACATTGAATTTGAAAAGCTTGAGTGCACATTGCGTGCACATTCCACTTGGTGTGTTGTTAACTTAAACGAAGATCCAAGATCAATCATCCCAATAACAAGCTTAAAAAGTTTGATGTTTTTGATATGAACACAATAACATACAATCACATTGTCAAATTTGATCGGCTCAAAGAGTCTAAACGTTGATCAATGGAAATATATTCATCTTCAATATCAAATAAAAAACATGCATAAAATTGTGTAAATGGTATTTATGTTGATATCAAAATAGCTGATCGCTAGATTCAATAAAAGAAGCATCGATAATATTCACAAAAGTAGTAACATCAAAAAAATTTGCTGGGTGTCTATTGATATGGTAAATAGATCAAGCCCGTGATCTATCCGTGGCAAAGGGTCAAAAGGTTGAAAAACACAATATAAACAAACCAACTCCAACCTAGGAGAGAACCAAAAGAATCCCCTAGCTAGTGCCAAAAGCACTAGAACGGTAAGTAATAATATTCCTAATGTAACAACCTAAATCATAAGTCTCAAGCTGAAGCAAAGAATAAAAATTCTCAACAACTTTATGAGCCACTCTAATCTCTATATATCTAATACAAGTAAGAAACACATGCTCTTCATACTCAACATTTCTTCCATCACATAGTCTACAAATCCGTTCACTCCTATCAATATTCAACCAATGTAATTCATCAATTCCAAGTCTATGAGATCCTGATCTATGACTCGCAATAATAGGACGTATAGATGTAGAGATCTCAGCAACAAGATATACTTGCTCACAAAAAATAAGCATGGGATTCACATGAAGTTGATAAAATTGCATTTTGATGACTCCTCTACTCCAAATAATGTTGAGAAATTCCTCCTTAATACGTTCGTGAAGGGCCATAGGTTGCAAATTCCAATATAGTTCCGTCACATTCCACCTCAAACCAAGTCATCACATCAAACCATCTTTTGGATAGTGTGGCACGCAAAGCATGAAGAGGAAGTCAAGAAGCATCAAGAGATCTCACCCTTCTAAAATAAGTGATGATCAAGTAGAGAGCTTCAGCCTCAAGAGGTAGACAACCTGTTTCTGCAAGAAGAATAGAATAAGGAGTTTGGTTACTTACACCTAATTCTTCTTGTAAGAATATCTTTTGCACCCTCTCCACGAGCTCTCAACTTGTCTACTTACTGCTATGATCCCACACTTGTGTCGCATATAAAACCACCGGCAACACTAAGCTCATAAATAAAAATTTCCTAAGACTTCAAGACACTAGATGAGCTCTTCTACATTCATTTAACAATGAATATAGAGCTTTGTAACTAGCGTCTACTCTCTTTTGCACACAAAGTGCCCAATTATAATTTTGAGAAAAATGAATGCCTAAATATTTGTAATTGTTCACTTGTTCCAAATCTAGTCCTTTATAAAAGAAAGAACTTGGATCTAGTGCCCACAAGAATGACCTTTGATTTTTTCATATTGACCTTCATCTAATTTTGAGTACAAAAGCTAGCCAAAGTATCAAGGTGTTTCTGTAAATTAATTGCATCACGTGCTAGTAATATGATATCATCTGCATACAAAAAAGCTTTGATCACAAAGTCTCTAAGTTTGATTACTTCACTCTCACAATCATCCAACCACCTTTCTATATCATCTATGAAAATTCCGAATAGAGTAGGAGATAGAGGACGATACTCACTCCACTTCGCCAAGTCTTGGCTTTTGAGATGTTGAGAGCATAGCTCTAATAGATTTGAAACTTTGAAGTACTTGGTGATACTAGCCGTCTTGTGCTTTTGTTCTACTTTTTCTTCACGACTTCATACTTAGCAAAAACGACACAAAATTGATATAACGACACTAGAAAACCGATCCACATCAAGATCTTTAGTCCAAACTCAAGTTTGTGAGTGGCATTAAATAACGTTTTTTGTTTCTTTGATGGCTTTTCATCAACAACAACTCTTCTACAAAGGACAAAAGCGAACGCCAACTCAGGATTCATATCTATGGCATAACACAAAATTCATTTATGACAAATGTGGCGCGAACTCTGCCCAATGTCATATTTGAAGAGTCATGTAGATCATCTAACAAAACTAATTTTTATCAAATAGCCTTTTCCACCATTATTTGTCAAAAATATACACCCCACCTAAAACAATCTGCACAATGGCACAGACAAAGTGAAATAATTTGTCATCACAATTCAAATGCTATGAACACATATAATACCGAATTTGTAGTTAACAGCATATGATGAGAGTTAGATGATAACCAGATTCCATTTTACCAATTGTGTGTATATATATATATATATATATATAACCCTTGTACCAGGCAGCATATTTCATGCTAAAGTTTAGCATAGAGTTAACGAGAGGTCACCGCAGACGAAGGAAACTTTGGTAACAAAATCTAGAACATCTCGGAACTGGGCCACGTGGCTGTGAGTTCATGGGTATTCGTTGAACTCTTTGAACACTTGTTTTGTTCGAGCTCTTATGTGCTTCCTCTCTTCAATTAAACAATGTTTTGACTTTGGACATCGAATTTGATGATCAGAGTGCATGCTATGAATATTAGAATCTCGGAACTGGCTAGGGGGCTGTGAGTTCATGGGTATTCGTTGAACTCTTTGAACACTTGTTTTGTTCGAGCTCTCATGTGCTTTCTCTCTTCAATTAAACAATGTTTTGACTTTGGACATCGAATCTGATGATCAGAGTGCATGCTATGAAGATTAATGGGGAAGAACCCAAGGAACTTAACGGGGAAGTATGAATCTCATTTCCTGAACTAATTTGAGAACTTGGAATCGCGTGGGGTCGAATCTGATAGGTTAAATTTAACTTTGCCCATATTTGAGTTGTTTGTATTTTCAACGTACACATCAGCCCGATTCACACATTTAATATTTATTGGTTTAGCAACGCTGAATAAGAGCTCTGTTTCGGAATCACGAGCAGTAAAACACTTTCATGACCTTAATCGCGAAACTAGAAGGAGAAAAGTGATCGAAGCGAATGTTTGTTTTGTTCAATTTTGCGTTCTTGCTAGAGGAGAGCGCATTCATTTCACTCCGAGTGTGAGGTTCATCGAGCTTGAAAGTGGGTTGGGAGTCCTGATAAGAACCAAGATGTGAACCCATGCGAGTATCTGATACTCGCATTGGTTAACATGGGGCAGCGTTTTGGATCATCGAACGCCAGTTCCATGCCTCCGGGTTATTGAAGCACGGAGTGAGTTCAGTTTCAAAAGAGCAGAAAGAAGTAAATTTCTGTCTAATGGAAACATCACTTACCTCTTGGAACCTGAACACTGGAAAGTCTCAGAACACAACGTGTCGGCGCAGGGGATAAGCGACTTATGGCATGCACGTGTAAAATCGGTCTAAAGTAGCCCGATATGATCGATTGGCATTCTTCCATATGGTTGGGACGTGACCAATTAGACATGCTCATCATCGTCTGCTTCATGGGCGGACACGGGTGTGGACAGGTTCAGGGCGGGGCGGGCTTCAGAACGAAGGCGAGACGCTTACAAATGAATGGTTGTATTACACCAGAAAACTTGTGAAGAAGTATATGTCAGTCTAAGGGGATTTACGACGTCCTTATCAAAATTGTCACACTCTTTGATACCTTACTTGCTGGTTTACTTGCTCATGATGATGCACTCTCACCATAGAGGAGAAGACGTACTCCCTGTAGACTTCAACAGCCTCATGTCCCACGCTCGAGCCTAGCTTCACCAACCTGTTAATCAAGCACCTCTCTCCCTCTCTCTCTCACTCTTTCTTTTCTGAAGGTGGAGGCGGGGCTGGGCTGGGGCAGAGGAGGATGCCATGAGAAGGTCCATCTGCAAGGAGCGGAGCAGAAGCTCCACCGAGGGCGACAACGACAGAGATCTCCATCCACCCGATGCTTGCAGGGGCGGATGGAGGTAGGTGGAGCCTACCTGCAATCGGCGATCTTCTGGGAGGAAGTCTACTCGTCTCTGCACTTATTCAACCAAATTAGATTCTCTTCCAACGTTCTAAATGCGAATGTCGAGGAGTTCGGTCTGCAGGAGCGAGCCCAAATCAGGATGAAGGTTCTTACACTACCTCCGACAACCCAAGCGGCCATGACGACGAGAATGCTGGAAGCTACGAACGACCCACCAAACGATACCAAAACCGAGCAGCAAAGCTTCTGTTCAAACTCTGAGGCCCAATCTTCGTCCAGCTCCGTCGCTTTCCGCTTCGCCGCATGCTCTGGGGCCTAACGTCGTCGTACCTCCAACCTCGCGAACTGGAAGACTGCGAGCTCTTGAAGCGCCTCGGACTCGTGTCCGTCTCCATGGGAGGGGTCCCGTAGCGGGGGCTGACCTTGAGAGAGGTGATATTAGCCGCTTCGGGAGGCGGTGTGGGCGGTGGGGGGGTGAGAGGCGCGGGCGGGGGAGGCGGGGGCGGGGGCGAGAGCGTGATGTTGTTCCCCTTGACCTTGATCAAAATGATGCGCGACTGCGCCCGGACGAAGTCGAACTTGGCCATGTTGGGCATGGCCAGGACGTTCTTCAGGCCCCCCGTGTAGTTGGCGTCGGGCGGGACCATCATGGGCAGGTACGAGTCCTTCTTGCCCACCTTGCTGAGCTTCTGCCAGCTGCCGCGGATGGTGGTCATTCCCCAGTCGCCGTCCGTGTGACCCGTGAACGAGACGTCGCAGACGGAGACGAGCGACTTGAAGGCCACCGTGCGCTTCACCTCGTCCAGAAAGTCCGGCAGCAGCGGGCTCTTGGCGAAGCAGCTCATGGCCACGCCGATCGGGACGCCGCCGGGCTTGACGGACGTGATGTCGAACCGCAAGTCCAGCAGCGTGCCGGACGCATTGTTGGGCCCGTCGTAGACGTCGGCGCTCATGGCGAACTTGATGGCGGCGGCCTTGAAGAACTTGCGCTTGATGACGCGCGGGCCCACGAAGCCGGCCTCGCTGACCATGAGCCGAGCCACGAGGTTCGGGATGGTCGAGGCCTTGTTCAGCGTCTCGATCTGGTGGAACGAGAACTTGACCTCCTTGTAGCACCGCTGGTTCACCGCCTGCACGAAGGCGTTGCCCGCGTCGATGTAGCACGGGTCGTACGGGCGCCCGTTCTGCATGCCCACGTTCACCCCGAACTCCGCCACCAGGCGCAGGTCGCGCAGGTACAGGTCCAGCAGCGCGCGCACCGTCGTGAAGTTGTTGGCATTGCCGGCGCGCCCCAGCAGCTTCGCGAACACGCAGGCCTGCTTGAGCGAGAAGCTGGCGCCTGGGCCCTCGCTCTGTCCGCCGGTCGAAGTCGCCGCCGGGACCTGCGGTCCATTCTGCACGACTGTGTTCAGCATCTTGGTTACCAGGTTGCGATTGCTGCCCATGCACGTGCTGCTCTGGCTGTTCATGCTCTGCGTGCCGAGCAGCTCCATGGCCGTCAGGGCGTTGAAGTACTTGCCCTCGTTGGCGATTAGCCAGTAGGAGTCCGAGAACGACTGCGACAGCAGCGAGCGCCGGCCCTTGCCCGAGACCTTGAAGGTGGGCAGCGAGAATTTAGCGCCGGGCGGCGCGTCGCTGCTGTGGACGCGCGGCACGCCGGCGTCGCAGACGTAGACGTGGATGGTGACCTTGCCGCCGAGCAGCACGAAGTCCTTGACGGCGTTGGCCGTGGACAGAGGCTGCAGGATGTACTCCTTGAGCTTCTTGCTCTTGAGGTACGAATAGCGGAACTCGTACTGCAGTAGGCCGCCGCCGACGCCGGCCATCCAGCCGTGCGCGACGACGCTGTACACCGTCTTGCCCGCGGAGTTCTTCTTCGAGTTCGTGCTCAACGTCGCGGTGCCGCCGCTGGGCACCATCATGGTCGTGAAGGTGACGGTCGCGGTGCCGAACTTGCCCAGGCTGTTGCGCCCGCGGCAGGTGATGCTGTAGGTGCGCGCGTCGAGCAGCTGGTACGGCGGGATCTTGATGGTGCCCTCGAGCACGACCACCGGGTCCAGCTCCCACAGCAACCGCTGGTCGCCCATCGACGTCATGGTCCAGTTGTAGGACTCGAAGCCCGGCGTGCAGGCGATGGTCACCTGCGACGACGCGTACACGCCCAAGTGCAAGTCGGCCCCGTAGGCGATCTCGCAGGTCATGGTCACCGTGTCGTCGAGCGGCGTGATGGAGGCCGTGGCCGTGGCGGGCTCCGCGCCGCCCTCCTTGCTCACCACGACGGTGTAGTTGTACACCGTGCCGTTCAGCAGGGTGTTGGCCGGTATCTTGATAATGCTCCCGAAGTTCTGGTCCGTGTACACGTACAGTAGCGACTCCGGCGTGGTGATGGGCGTGTCGCAGGTCCACACGTAGTTGTATTGGAACGAGTTGCCGAACTCGTCCACCAGGTTGTCGGGGTCGTAGGCTACGACTTCCAGGATCAGGTCCTGCGAAGCGTTGATGGCCCGATCGCCGCCCTTGATGAAGGCCACGATGGGCGAGCTCTTCACTTGCACGGCCGCCTGCGCCGTCGAATACTGCGTCGGGTACCCGAACATGGACACGGTCACCAGGAACTCGTAAACCTGGCCCACCGCGAGCTGGTTGCCGGCGATGTTCAGCTGCTGGCCCGTGTTGCCCAGCTGGAACATGTTCACGAACGGGCCGGCGACCTGCGTCCAGACGAAGACCATCTGCGTCGCCGTGGTGTTCACCTTAGTGTCGGTGTCGTAGCAGGTGCCGGACTCCAGGTCGTAGAGCTGCGTCCCGGGGATCGCGACGTCGGCCTCCAGCGTGACGACTTGGCCTCGTGAGAAGGTCTGGACCTCCGCGGAGCCGGGGATGTGGAGGATGGGCACGGGCGTGGGCGACACCGAGATGGTCACGCTGGCCGTGGCCCTCTTGCCCAAGTAGTTCACGACCACGACCACGAACGTATAGATGTAGTTGGCCTCGAGGGAGCCCGGCGGGATGTTCACGACCATGGTGTTGTTGGGCAGCGACTCCAGAATGGACCCCAGCACCGACAGCTTGTACAAGTCGCCGGTGCCCTTGGCGTGGTACGAGAAGGTCATGGGCCGGCCCCCTGCTCCGTAGCTGGACGAAGCGTCCAGAACGAAGTCGTCGCAAGCTCCGACTGTGGTCGGCCCGGAGAGGATGGCCACCAGAGGCGGATGCTTGTTGGGCGGCCGGAGCAGGACGCTCCCGGCTGATGGAAGCGACGTCTCGCGCTCGGCGAAGACGCCCTCCCTGGACAGCGTGATGTAGTCCGGCGTCGGCGCGCCGGCGGGCATGATGCTGGCGTTGTAACCCAGTTGGATGTACATGGTTTGGGCGTCCTTGAAACCGCAGGCCGGGTTGGAGCCGAGCTTGAGGTACGTGGTATTGTCCAGCAGCATCTCGCACCGCTCGGGGCCGTCCCTCATTCCTCGCATGCTTCTCAAGCCCGCGTCGCTCACGCCGTCGAAGGTCACGAGAATGGATCCGGCCGTGTCGTCCATCAGGGCCGTGATGACCGTCGGAGCTCCTCTGGAGGTCACGTCGACTTTGTGCTCGATGGCGTCCAGCCCGTCCCAAGTTATGGTGATGTTGATGTCGCCGTAGCCGTGCGGCGTGAAGAGCGCATCGCACGTGTAGCTCGGCGGGCACGGAGTCGTCGAGTTCCCGGAAGCCAATTCCCAAAGCTCCTCCTCCTCTGCTGAGCACACTGCCGCCGTCACCTCCACATTGTAATACGGCTCGGTGGACACGTCGGGAAGAGCTGGAACCAGGTTGTTGTACGAGTCCAGACCTGCAAAACTCGGACAGTTCGTACAGGAATTATTATTACCGTGCCAATCCATTTTACCCCACTCGGAAAGATAAACACTCTGAATTGCGACTAATTCTAGTCGGCCATGCATGATTATATGTGTGTTATTATACTCCTACAAGTAATGTACTCAGAAAGGTTGGCTCTCCTACGAGAGCTCTGGGCTGATCAAAGTAACGGGAGCACGAGAGCTAGAACGATGAAGGTGGGAAGAGGAGGTACCTGTGATGCGGAAGGCGATGGTTGCTCCACCGGGGTAAGAGCGTTCGAGTGTGGCGAAGGATCTGGTGATGTCCACATCGCCAGGGAGGATGTCCACGGTTGCGAGTTCTATGATCCCATCCGTCATATCGCCACCGATGCGACCGGGGCTGTTGGCGGCTACCACAATGTAGCTCCCCACCTTCTTCGGCATCACGACTGCATGCAGTCCTTGTGATAGCATGCCCGGTTGCAACTGAGCTACCTCGATGAAGTTGTATGAGTCTGGACTCGTTTCGAAGGTTACGGGATCCACAGTCCCCGGGATTTTCTGTGATATTTAAAACCCGAGTTACAACAAGCGCAGACCCGTTTACCATTCTCGGTGCTCTACGATTGGAAGGACTGACTTACGTCATGCAAATCTCAGCTGTTGACCAAACTTTCAATCACGGTGTCGAAAATCTGATGTTTCTGCATCGGATGTCTCGTGAGGAAGCCTAAACTATTACAGCTTTCGTTATTAAAGATACTGGCTTAGAGAAACCAAAGTAGAGAATCTCACGTACCATTCCTTCACTATCTGCAACTCGGGGGTACAGGAGTTGCAGATAGTGAAGGAAGAAATGACGCTCGATTTATAGTATAATAGTGTAAGTATGGCTTTTATAAAGAAGAAGGGAAGGCAGTTAGGTACCACAGCCAGAGCGGCGAATATCTGCTGGGTGGCGTTCACAGAGTTTATGACGTTCTGATAAGCATCAACGGGGATGATGTCGAAGTAGGCCTCCTGGCCGGAAATCATGGGGTCCAAGTACCAGGGTGTGATCTCTGTGCCTCGCAAGTACAGAGTGCTGGCGATCACGAGAATGCCATAGGACGCAACCTGAGCTCCGTTCAAGTTCACAATCAAGGAGCCTGCTCCAGCAACGACGGGAACCTGTAAGGTAATTCTGTAGGTGGACTGGAAGTTGATGGAAACTCCCACTGCTTGGGTGGTGGTTCCCGCCGTCAGGGTCGCTACGTAGATGTCCGCATTCTGCAAGCTGTAGATTTGGACGTTATCGTAAGCGTCCTTCGATTGAGCTATGAGCTCCAGCTGATGACCGGCCACCAAGGGCTTCGAAGGATCGAATTGCTCCCCATCCGGTCTGGTGATTATGCAGTTGACCGGCGAGGACGGTCCCGGCAGGAACTTCACCGTGAATCCACTGTTGGGAAGCTCGTGGGTGCTGTCCGAGCTGCGCACCACGACCAAGTAATCCCTGGCTTCATCGCTCGATACCTCGAAGGTCGCTTCATAGTTCGTCGGATCGCTGGTTATGACTTGAGTGGGAGTGGCCGTGATTCGCACCACGTAGACCGGCACCTTGGGTGAGTTGGCCGGCGGCGTGCTGATGGGGAAGCCTGACGTGTCCCGGGGCTGGATCAGGAAAGAGATCGACTCCCCGGCGTACGAATACACCACGACCTGATTATCGATCTCCATGCCGTCTTCGGTGGTGATAACGGACCTCGCGGCCGAGTAGTTGCCGGTGGTGCCATTGGTCATGAGAAGTCCACTGGTCAGCGCGATGATACTGTCGTAGCCCACGCTGATGGTGAACTCAGGAGCGGCCGTAGTAGGAACGTAAGTGATCATCATCAGCCCCATGGCCATGTACGTCTGGGCGAAATCCGTCGCGACCGCCGGAGTGAACGTGACCGTCAGAGGTGCCGGCGGCTCGGTCTCGATCAGATTGTCCATCGAGTCGCGGAGCCGGAGGAAGAAGGTGCTGGTTCCGCCGATCACGCCCCCCGCAGTCCATCCCCCGCCCCAGGCGTACATCCGCGTCGCCAACGGAGGACCGGCGATGACCTGCGTGGTGTACGGCTCGCCGTTCTGTAGAACCTGCCCGCCGTTGATCTTCAGATGCACCTTCATGGCGCCGGCGTAGAGTGGGATGAAAGTCACGGTGTACCGGTTGTCGTCGAAGGTGATGGTTTTGGCCATGAACGTCGCGCGGCGGACTTCCGCGTCGACGGACAGAGACGTGAAGCTGAGGTCCGTCGGGACGAGCACGTCGGCCGTGATGTTGTTCTGGTAGGCGTCGAAGAACTGGATCCACAGAGTTCCCTCCACTCCCGCGACGTAGCCCGTGGTCCCGTCGAACGTCACGCTGGTGGACTGCGCGTCGGGCGGCCCCGGGAACACCCAGATCGCCTCCGTGTAGAAGGTGGACGAGTTGAACTCCGCGACGATGGTGTACTGCTGGCTCTTGGTCATCATCCACGTGAAGGTGTACGTGCCGTTGTACCAGTCCTCGCCCGAGGCCGAGGTGTTGGCTTCTTTGGACATCAGGTAGACGGTGATTGACAATCCTCCGTCCCAGAGGACGTTCCCGGCCGAGTCCGCCGCGACGACGGTGGTCATCCCAACCTCCCCGGCCGAGACGAGGCAGAACGCCCCGACCATGAACTGCTTCGCGTCCGGAGGCCCGGGCGCGACCGGAATCATTCCGCTCCACACTTGCGCCCTGTAGGAGTAGATGGAGATCAGGGTGCTCTCCGGCTGGTCCTTCGTCCCGGCCGTCTTGCAGGTGAAGTTCCACGTGTACACCCCCGCCCCGAGAGGCTTCATCGTGTCCATCTCGGACTCGTTGCCGTAGCGTACCGACTTGATGATGGTCAGCGCGTCCTCCATGTGAGTCCGGATGTTGCCCTCTTTGTCGCGCGCCGTTACCGTCACGGCGTGCGACTGGCCGGACTTGCACAGCGACAGCGTCTCGGCGTCCACGGTGCTCATGGAGCTGATTTCGCCGGGGTACACTGTGACGTAGTACGGGGAGCCCATGATGTGAGCGCCGGCTCTTCTGACGTTGACGACGTAGGGGCCCGATTTGTACACCATGTATCGGACCAGAACGCGGTTCGTGCCTTTCAGGCGCAGCGGGTAGCCCGGGCTCGGGCGGATCACGCCGGTGGACACGAGATTGTACCCGGCGACGTCGAAAGTGGTGGTCACGTTGGATAAGCTGCTGGCGACGAGGGGATTGTTGAGACTGTCGTAAGCCTCGATCATGAACTCCGCCTCTATTCCCACCACCACGGGGTTGTCCGTGGTGCCGACGCCGTCTCCAAAGGCTCTGGAGTTCGGGGCGTATATGGACGGCTCCTGAGCAGTCACACTCTGCTGCAACAGGAGCCTATTGTCGGCCCAGATGTCGAAGGCGTACGTTCCTGCCTGATAAATGGTGTAGGTGCACAGGCCTCCTGGAGGGGCTGCATTCACAGTGCAGCTCGTGGTGCTGACGATTTCCTCCGATAGGTCGTTCACCACCATCGTTATGTTGTACTGCTGAATGTCGTCCAACTTGGTCACTTGATTGTCGAGTTTATCGTATAAAGTAACCACAAAACTCGAGAGCGTTCCGATGATAGCCTTGGATGCCCCTTGTCCCACAACCTGAACATGACGCCAAAATTCACTGGAAGTCAAGAGGTCTGCACCGAGTTTCTTCGTGTCACTGAAAATCGGACTTCTTTCCTGACATTCTCACAATCTTACCCTTCATAAACTCAAACGTATATCATTGAGGACATTGGGCTACTATCCAGTAGGTTATCATATTTATTTACGCGGATGGGGTTTATGAATTTATATTGGTATTTATATGTCAGTACTTTTTACACGCCGATGAAACAATCTGATCGAGGACCACACGCGCCAGAGTCAACTCAATACGGTCGTGGACGTCAGCTAAGGTATTTCAACCCCATAATCGCCCTTCAGTTTAAAAGTTTACTTGACAACACCCATCACAAGCGTGTACTCGCTAGAAGCTACACGAACCGGCTATTCGTCAATAATCGAAGGGAAACTTTTCACGAGAAGAGTGTATTGAAGAACTTGACGACCGTAGGTGAATTGCAGCGCTAATAGCTGTACTTATTCCTTCGCCAGTATGACACTGCTCTCGCTGTGAACCCGCTCCCAAATCCTTGCCCAATCTCGAAACACTGCCGTTTGTCTCGGAACGTAATTAGAGTTACTTCGAAAAGCACTGGAATATCACCGACAGCTCGGGAGCTACCGTCTCTACACGTCCAGTTCTTTGCCCCGGGGTGTGTCAAGTAAACTTCGAAACTAAAGGGGATGCCAAGTAGATATTACAGATTCAACGAACGATAAGCAAATTCCCCTATTCTGTCTGAATAGGGGAGTTCAACTTACAACTCAACAAGCGAAAGGTTGAGGAGATTAAACTTGAGGATCATTCTGCACAGCGAAAATCATCCGACGGGAGTAGCTGGTACTAACCTTTACAAAGGAAGGTTCAGGCGGACCAGGCATTGCATAAATCTTTATAGGTACTTGGGGAACCAACTCCTCCACGGTCCCATTGCTCCACACTATTTCAATGATGTACAAAGCGGTGCTCCTCCGAGGTGCCTGCTCCGGGTAGTATTTCAGCAGCCATTTGTGATATGGGACTCCGTATTGACTTTCGGTCTCGATACGATCCAGAACCTGGTAGGCGATGGTGCCGTCAGGTTGTTGAATTTTAGCCCGAAAGATGTCTGGAGAAGCAAAGTAGTAGTCTTGCAGGTTGGAGAATTGATCTATAGGTTGCACTTCAACTAGCAGTGCATCATAACCTGCACGATACACAGTTACATTGGTGCTTATGACGGAGACTGAGGTCGTTGCCACGACAGTCTCCGATGCCACCACCTGCAAAAGTGCAAAGGCAACATGCGGTCAATGTTCAGACTCTCTCGTTCTGGCCAATTCACACACTGGTTTGTATTGACTACATATCACGAGCACATCCAGCATCAGCATCTATTCTTTGAGCAACACATTGGAGCTACAAAAAATTTTTGAAGAAGCAGTAGATTGCAAACACCAGTCCAAGCCAATTTTCAACCTTAGATCGTCCAATTTAGATACCCAAACACGCTACTTTGGTGCTAAACCTACGGCAAGTACGGCAAGGAGAAGGAAGATCTGCTGCGTACCCTGATGACAATTACGGGTCCAAAAGGTCTCAAATTGTATCCAATGACTGGTTGATAACCAAAGGTTCCTGTGGAAGCAGTTGTATACGTGAGAAGGAAGGTCCCATCGCCGTTGTCAAAAGAAGCCAGCTGAGGTGCAATTACGCCCTCAGTTTGATTGTAAGCTATCAACTGCACATATTCGTTTCCTTCCATCGGACTGATGCAGAGCCAAATACCGTCTTTATCTGACAGCTGCGCATAAATTTTTCCCACTTTCCCTGCTTCTATGACACCACCTAAATCTCCCCAAAGAAAGCTTTTTGCTAGGCTCACATCTCCGGCAGCAACCCTCACGCCCACAGTCCACGGAGACCCAGTGAGTAACTTGCCAGCGTAGGATATGTTAAATGACACCTGCGGTCAAAGGTGATGCACACACTTTGGGGGTGAGAACTGCCCCGTAAATCAGCTGCTAGGCCTCAGCGAAATTCAAATTCAAGTTTTCTTGCCAGCCTGAAGAATGTCACTAGAATTTAGATATGCATCTTATCCTGATATGGCTTCTATTACACGGGACTTTATCTCGTCGAGCTAGATCAGAAGTACACACCTTTTGATTCGGTAGCGTGGTATAATTGACAGTGTATTTAATAAGGCAAGTCGCCATGTCTGGGGCAATTACTGCACCACCAGGCATGATCAACAACGGGTCCGTGAAATTGTACTCGACGTAGACTTCATAGCAAGCGTTTTCCAGCTCGGTATAAGTCAGAACGTTTTTGTTCGCATCAAACACCTCGATGTGAATGGTGTTGTTGCGATAATCACACCACATATACGCATCGCATGTAGTTGTTAATCCAGCGATAAGGCCCCCGCCATAAGCGCGAACCGTGGTTGGATCCGCCGGGCCCGAGAGGATTGTGCCTGAAACTGGAGTCATGGCACTCAGGTATTTGATGCCAGTCACAGTGTCCCCATACCACATGTAAAACGCCACATCGCCCGATGAAGTGGGAGTATACTTCGAGGTGATGCTGCCGTCGGTGGCCCCAACTACCCATGCATCCAAGGTGACGTTACTATCCTTGTCTTCGAAAATCATGAAAGCATTGATTTGACGTTTTCGAAGCTGCAGGGATGTCCAAAGGCAGTGATTGTTTAGTTGTGAGATATGATCAATAGTGCTGATATTTTCATGAATTAATGCTTTGTTAGCTGTGAACTTCGCCCACGTCATTTCTAGTGTATTTACGAGTGGAGGACCTCGTCTGGTACGGCGGCGATGAAGCTAAGGCATGCAAATCTGAACCACGGGGTCACAACTGTGACGGAGACTGACGTGTCGACTTGACCAGATCTCTCATTAAGTGCATAGAAATCTCAAATGTTCCTTGTTTAGAGCGATGTGTCATTCAACTGTGAAGCGTACACGGAGCTTTCTTATTGATCTGAGACATGCTGAGTTCTCGTTCTACTCGCGGTGCTTGGCACATGGGCTATATATTCTTTGGTTACGTAGAGCGGCGCTCTGACAAGTGGCACCGTTAAGAACAACAAAGACATGACTAGGAAATCAATCTGAGCGGAATTGCGAGCAGAAGTTGTAGATCGCAAACCTGGATGTTGGCGGTAATGTTGGCGATATACTTCTCAGCTTGAGCAGCTGGGAGGACAACGGGATTGCCAAACATATCGGCGACGGCGATAGTGATGTTGCCAGGAGTGGTACAATTCAAGGCGGTCGAATTTTTCCCCAGGGTCTCGCTCACAGGTTGCAGACGGGAAAAGTCAGGATTGCCAGCCTCCACCATGAAGTTCTCAATAGTCGAGGAGCCTGAACCGACGAGCTCAGAGTCCACGAAAACGCTGATGTTGTAAGCTCCGGCCTGAGTGACGGAGAATGTGAAACTGTACGTGCCATCGAAGTTATTGACGACGACCGGGGTTATCGTATAACCGCCCGAGTCCTGGGGAAATATAGTCTGAGCTGGGATCACCTGCAGTAGTCGCCGTCCGAATGCTTTTGGTGGAGGGGGTGCTGGAGGCGGCGGCGGGGTCACGGTAGAGGGCTCGGGGCTTTCATTCGGATTTTCTTCTTCCACCAGTGGTTCCCACTTGCTAACGACTACGGTAACATTGAGTGTCTGATTGTAAGCTGCGACGTTTCCGAAAGCATCCTGTGTGACGACTCTGAATGTGCTCGTCAGTCCAGTAGTCTCTGGATTGCTCTTAACAAGCTGGACCGATGTGCTGTACACGCTGATCGGACCAGGCAGGACAGTAAAAGTGAAAGGAGCTCCTCCGATTCCTTGATCCACCAAAGAAGGCTCATCTGCAGTAGTGCAGTTCACCTTCAGTATGTAGTTAATAGGTGTGAGCACACTGTCCGCGTACGTACCCACCTTGGAAGCAGACACTTTGAAGCTGTGCGTGGCATCCATGTTGTCTACCACTTCTGATAGATACACTCCGGTATTCTGCAACAGTGGGTCTTCAGGTTCAAACGTCACCTTCAAAGTGTCCCCTACGACTGAAGCCTGTTGGCGGTTGCCATTTGCATCCAGGATCATCACCCCCAGCTGAAAACGTCACACCGTCCCTACCAGGACCGTCGATCAGCAAGACTTCTCAATACATAGGTAACATAGTTCATAGGTAACATCAAGTTTGATGTTACCTATGAACTTTGAGTCTTCCAGCTTATCGGACAACGACCAGACAGAATGTAAAGTGTACATTCTGGATTCTATCAGTTTTAAATATTATTATGGTTATTAATGATCTTATTTTTACTAGTGAGAGTAGGAAGAGAGAGCACTTCAAGTAGATTCCTGTGACCAGTTTCGTGTCAAACGTATAACAAACAGCAAATTCGTTCATCTGCGTGCACGAATACGAGTAACCTAGAGAGGTTTGAGCGAATGGGAGATGGGGTTGGTCGTTCACCTCGACGACTGATCCGGCGACCATTGAAACTTTCCCAAGGTTATCGAGTTTCCGAGGCGGATCGACCACATAAGCGAATGATATTCTTGGGGTCGAGACAGCATGAGTGCAAAGAACTGAAAAGGGACTGCCGGTTATGTTTCTGCCATCCTGAAGGGTCACATTCAATGTCCAGTTGCCCACTTCTTTGACAATGTAGGAAGCAAATGTGCCGAACTCATTCCCCCATACGTCGGCCACCACTGGAAGTACGGTGCTGTTCACGATCGTTGTTCCTGCTCCTGGCAGTAGGGTGAGAACTGCCTTGAAAGCTGTTTCCGGATGGCTGCAGTTGTTTTGCATCGCATCGATGCAATTTATTGTCAACACGGATAAGTGACCCACGGTGCAGTTTGTGGTCGCACTGCCTTCCACAGTCGACAGATCTGAAGCAGCACCAGGCAGCACCTGGATGGCTGTGTAAGCAACGAGGCCACTAGCGCCATAACTGACGTTGTATGTGCCCGTCTTGTTCAAGCTGTAGGTGCATGTTGCCAAAGCATAGGTTGTGTTCGTCAGGGAGCACAAGAAGGGGATGAGCGTTGCAGCACTGTCTGCAATGTCCGTTGCATTGGCTGTAAACGACAGATCCTTGACGATACGATTTCCAAATTTGTCAGCGAGGCCCGGCACCTCGAAAAAGCCGGTCTCCATGGACCTCACGGGCGGGAGCCAAGGCTGAAGAAGTACACTGTTTTCAATGGTCGGGGTCGAGGGATTTACAGTGATGGTTGCACTAGCTCCGGTTGTGCCCAGAAGTACATCGTTTAACTCGACTGCGACGAAATAGATTCCAGACCACGTGAGGCGCATATAAGCATCCCACACAAGAGTTGTCTCATTCCAGGTGACAGTCCCATGCAGTCGCTCACCGGTCTCCCGGATTGCAGTGAAGGTGAATCTGTCGTTCGAAGTAGGGTACGAGAGACCGTAAGCTTGCAGGTTTCCATAAGGATCCTTGGGAGTGATGGCGGTGAAAAGGTTACCCCCAGCTACGATGAGGGCAGTAAACATCGGATCGATGGTGGATTTCTCGGATGAGGTCCACGCTGGGGTGATGTTCACACTGGCCTTGGTGATTTCAGCGGTACCAAGGCTCACCGACAATTCCACTGGGGCAGGTGGTTCGGGAATCTTGGTGATGGTGTACACGATAGTGTAGTAACCGTCATTGCTGTCGATGATCTCTGTCACAGCTGTGGGATCGGGGGGTGCAAGAGCGACGGAAAGCGCAGTTCCGGAGCTGGCCACAAAGTTTTGATCGGCGTCTGCTAAAGCCACTGAGAACCTGGCCTTCACACCTGCCACGGTTCCGAAATACCCTGGACACCAGGCTTTGAATATCAAGCCATTGCACACCAGGGCTTCGGCCGCCACAGGAGGGCCTCTCTCAGCTAGAGTGACCACGGTAAGAGGTGTGACGGGTGATCCTGTGACATTCTCGTTCCCACTCGTCAAGCTTATGCTGTATTTACCGACGCTCGGTGCGCTCCACGTGACAGCGTACATGCCACCGTAGATGTGTCTGTCCCGGACGGCGATTCGACCAGCCGCACTGCAATCGTCGGTGCACGTTTCATTCACGCAAATCGCCTCAGTCTTGCACAATCTGGCCACGAATTCGACCGGAGCCGAACCCAGGTCGTCCATCGCGTTTCCGAAACCGTCCTTGGCGTTGATGAAGAAGATGGCTGGCTGGTTCACAACGCTGCCCTTCAGACCCATGCCCGAGAGCACAGTCTTCGCTCCGCTCAGGCTCGCAGCACGGATGTTGAACTCGGCGAGTCCAACTGTTTTGGTCGCCGTTTGAGTCACTTGGAACTTGCAAGTCCCGGACACAGTGGCATTGAACTGGCTGACGTACCAGCCATTCGTCGAGTCTATTGATAGAGCTTCGGTCGTGACGGGGGTTGGCGGGTTGTTCTCACGGTCAGTGACAGTCACCACAACCTCCAGGAGGGCCAGGTCCGCCGCATTGGGACTCAGCAAATTACCGTAAGCGTCGCGGGGGATGATGTAGACTGTGAAATTGGTTCCAGCAACGCCGCCGCCCATGGCCGGACCGGTGATACTGCTCCGAGCTCCATCGATGGGACCGGGGTAGACAATGACATCAGTCACGATGTCGGTCGAGCCTTCGGTGATCATGTTATAAGGGATTTTGATCTGATAAGGTCCTGCAACATCTACCCTCATGCTTAATTCTAAGAGGCTCGTGTCGTTCCCAGATACCGTCACCCACGCTGCGGCCGAGCCGTTCGTGTGCACGGCCCCCGCGCTCGTTCTCATCAGCGGGCCTCGACTCTTTCCGATCGGATTGGCATAGCCATCAACCAGAGCCAAGGTGAAGTTGTTCAGGACTCCGGCCGTGAAGTTGGCAGCCAATGTGAAGTTGGAATTTGTAGCGTCCAAACTGCCCGCAGTGCAATTGATCTGTGAAGTCAAAAGGGACGTACCGCCCACCAGAACGGCGAGATCGTAGAGCCCTGCGACGGTGACGCCTCCGCCGATGACAGCTTGGAAGTGGTCATCGTTCAAGAAGGCAGTGTAGTTCGTGCTTATGGTCTTGTCAGTGTTTTCCAGGGTGATGGAAACGTCAGCTGACAGCACGGGATTGCCCCATTGGTCTGCAACGAAGGTCGCAATGCCCACGGTTCCTCCCGCTGTGAACATCGTTTCGTTCGCCCATACGACCGAGGCCGCCGCGACCTCTGGCCCGGCCACCACGCTCAAGTCGAGGCCTGAGCCTTCGATGATGTTGTTGGTGTAGCCAAACCACGCTCGCACGGTGTAGTTCCCGGCACAAGTCAGATTCGAGAAAGTTGCGGTGAAGATGCCGACCGGGGTCCCAGCTGCGTTTATGGCCACGTTGTGCAGGTAACAGGAGGGCATTTTGGTTGCAATGAGGTCAACCACGAGCATGCTGTTCAGATCACCGGACGAGTAGTTTTCTGTTCACAGCACGGACGCACTCTTAGTGATGCCGGGTGCACGCACCTACTTGACTATTATAACCTCGCGATGGAATGTCTTGCTTAGTGTGGACATCCATCGAGCTATGTCCTTGTCCAAACAATTTCACCAACATCTGAGATACTGGTGCTAGAGGCTGGACAAAGGGCGCCCAACGGACTGCTCGTCGGCACGGAGAATTAGGCCCCAGTGTACTGACTGGCAGGCAGAGGAGACAAGTGCGTATATTTCCCCTAGAGCATTGAGATCTTGACATCTCTAAGTCAGTGGAATAAGCTAATACAAACATTCCGTAAGGAATATAATAAATGTGCAGACGTAGAAAATAATAAAAGGCTTTTGTTAGGCAAAGGGGACCCGTTGAGCAATATGTGGGATTCTGTGAGAGAGGTTTAGTGGACCAGGCCAGACAATTACAACAAGCCTGTATTGTGGAGCAGTCTAAATCTTGGGAGAGATGGGTAGTTTGGAGTACCTGCAGGATTGGCCCAGTCATCTGCTAGAGAAATATCGAATGGAGGTGAATTCGATCCCGATACTATGTTCGTCACATTGCCGGTGACGCTCATCCTGCAATTTTCACCGACTACAAACGCAGCCGAGAATTGTGCTCCTGTGATCGAAGACGCAAGCTTGGTAGTATTGTCGAGCAGGACACTTATATCGAAAAGAAACGGCCTGGTCACGTTCATGAGAAACGAGCAATCCGGAGAAGATCGAATGTCCAAGCAACTGCGTACGAATGACATATTCGGGCTCTCGACGTTGATTGTGAAGCCATGGATGGCCTTATACGCCGGATCTTTGGACCTAACGTTGAAGAGAACGGACCCCACTGCATATGTCCCGTCTGCTAGTTTATCTGGAGACTCAACTAGGAAGTTGGCTTCGGCGGTAGCAGAGGGCGCCGCTGTGAAATTGAATAGCCCACTCGTTACCAGAGTCATGCCACCGATGGTGACTTTGGCAGTGTAAACTCTGCTCCGCAACGGAATGAAAGTTATGTTGCAAATTCCATCTCCTTTCACAGGCCCCGTGATAGAATTCGGACTGTAATATTCCCCTTTGTCGTCCCAGATTAAAATCTTGAAAGGACATAATTTGCCCACAGAACCCCGGACAACATCAGCGGCATCCTTGGCTGTGACTGTGATCATGCACGGTGAGCCTGTATCTACTGGAGTCGCGCAAGGCGCCACTACACTTGTAAATGGAGAAGGGGGACCAGCAACATGAACTATGTACTCCGGATCTCCAAGAGCGGCCCCGCCTTCGGTTAGAACGACTTTATATTCACCGGGTATGCCTGCAGAAAGATAAGCTGAGTAGCCACCATTTCCTACGGCCGTCAGCTTCTCCGTCTTGTTGGCTCCGGGCCCAGTCAATGTAGCTGAAATGTCAGCATCCAACTTGGCGGGTATGCCCATGTACACAACCTGCACTGCTGCTCCCAACCCTGTGTCCGACACATCTACAGACCAATTTGACGTCCCACCAGCGGCAAGTTGTCTCCACGCAGATGCGCTAATATATTCAGTCTCCATCGGCTTGTTATCAGAGCTATCCTCGTACATCTTCCAGTTGTCTTGCATCCACCTTCGACGGTCATAACGGTCGACATATTCTGAAAACACGGACACTCTTTTTTCAAAAAACATTTCTTTCAAAACTACGACTGAAAATTAGAATTTAGAATCACGTTCGCAGAAAGTTGTCAATCATGCGATCCTGCGTGGACACAGGATCGCATTCTTCCCAAATTATCCACTGGAACTTCTCTATTTTCTTAATGGAAAGTGGGCATGCACTGAGAGTTCAAACAATTCCAGACTTCCGGACACGGTTCAAGCGTGACGGAATCGTCTAGCACTTGAGGAGTGACGAGAATCACAGCGGTACTCTTGAGTCTATAGATGATGCATTCATACTCCGACATCCAGTTTGTCAGTTCGACAAACAATCTTCAGATTTGAAGTTGAATGAGCAGGTGATCCTTGAACAGACATGTAGTGAGTAAATTGAAATTGCGCATTTGTTTGTACTGATCAGAATTATTAGCTACTTTCAATTGGTCTCAAACTTACCATCGTAGGTGCTGGCGGTCGATACTTGTAACAACTGAAGTACCAAGGACGTGACAAGCAAAGACATTGCAAGCTCCACGGCTTGTGCTCCTTGGATTCGGTTATTCTTGCGAGTGATTCCCTGAAATTTCACAAACCAAGCTGTTAGTATCAACCTTATACTTCTTGATTCAGGGCTGAGAGAAGACCTTTACAACCTTATCGTCCAGAGCAGTGTAATCAATCGAAAGCAGCTGAACTATCGCTGAAGGAGCACCGGACAAGATCAGATCCAGAAGTGTAGATTCAGTGTGATGAATTTGCGATTGTATTGCAGAATATAAGCGCCGCTTGTTCAAATAAATGCTTACCATTTTGACCATCTTTTAACAAATGATTTGCAGAACCCGAACAAAGCGCCCCACTGAGGCACCCGGACTCCGTCGAACAGCACCGACAGTAAATCCAGCTTGATGATTTTAAATCCTTCCAGTCTCTACAACAATCATTACGCTAAGTATGCCAAGTGCCAACAGGGTCGGAACCCTCTGAACTGGAGACTAACTTCATCTGCTGATTAGAAATATATGGAGACAACAGAGACAGTTCCCGGTGTCGGGACCTGATATCGTCACGATAACCTTCCGTGCAAGAGTTCTAACTTTATTCCAGCACTTCCACCGGGGACTCCTACACTTACTTCTCTATCTTAAGTTTAACGGGAGACTTCGCTTGTAACCTATGACAGCAATCACAGAAACATCTCCGATTGACATCACCATCGAACGGGGGTTCCATCAGCTCAACCGGGTGCCAAATAGCGCCAAAAAAAGTCTTTACACTCTTCTATTATTCTGCTTACAGCATGACTTCTTTCTATTTACAGCCTGCACTAGTCCAAGGTCAACTTCAAGACACGTCCACCTGTTCGTAAACGCCACTAGTGCTATTCACGCCCACATTCCAACAACTGATCCATCCTCCTCCGCTGAATCTTGAACATGTCCATCTCACCGAGACGTCAAGTGCCAGGATCAAAGATTACTGCTCAAGTTTGCCGCAACCTAGAGGCTGTGTGGCATCCCATAATCTGCACTGACCTTGGCATAGATTCTGTCTTCTACATATCTGATTCTGAGTCAGATTCCAACGCTAATATGAATACAATGCCTCCGCCTACTTACCCTTACAGTTCACAGGAAAGTGATTCCCAGTCACCTCTTGGAACCTCATGAAGTCATTCCGGTATGGTAACAACTCCGAAAACCGCATATTGCAAAAATGCCCCAATGAACGCTGTGCCAACGAACGTCCTCTTACGATGTCGAGGACGAGCAGCTTCCTCTTCTCTAGAGCCTATAATCCAAAATCGCCAGCTTTATTTGTCTCGAAGAACATCTATTTACAGTTGCCGTCGAAGTGAAAAATTGATCGCCAATCGCATCACAGGAATCTACGTCTGGAACTACCTCCTCAGGCCTGCGTAGAATCGTAAGATAACGAAACAGTTCCCATGCTTCCTACCAGTACACCTCCTCGTCCTCCAAGCCTGCAGCGACTCCTCATGACTAACGCCGAGCTCCCCGAGCCCACTACTATCTAGACCTCCACAGAAATCGAGCTGTGCACACAACTCAATGTGTAACCGCAATGACAACTCTGATGAACATCACAAAACTCTCCTCGGCCGCTACAACTCATCACTCATCGCGAGAATCATTGTCTCGCTAAAATACCAGTCTATCCTCGCCGTCTGCGGCTACCGCATGCATTCAGTTCTAGATGCCTCGAGCCATGAGCCTCGTTGCCGAAAATGTTGAGCAGCAGCCATGATCAAAACTGCCGCTGCGGGCACCGAGAACTATCAACCGATGACCTCTTGCTGCCAAAGTAGGGAAATTTTTCTCAGTCGACACCCAGAAAATCCCCCAAGATGCCGCTATCCCTCGCTGCGCCGAGAACAATTCTTGTTTCTCCGATCAAACGATCGTCTTCCTTAGAATTGAACAAGCACCTAATCCTCTCACATAATCCAAAATTGCAGAAGGGGATGCCGAGACGGAGGTTTGAGAGAGAAGGGGAGAGAGAGAGAGAGAGAGAGAGGGAGAGAGAGCGCGCGCTAGAGATGGAGATTGAGGTGGCGCTTTATCGTCACGAGAAATTCGAATGTGAGAGCAACGGGAGCGTCGACGAAGCGTGGATGAGACGTTCATGCGAACGAGAGCGGTGCATTACCGGTAATTACCTTGTGATTAGAGTAGCGGAGATTAATGACGGCGATGAGAGTCTGTTAACTTTCAAAAACGTGGATTAAGCCTGCTAGTCCTGGTTATTATGTTAACCGCGACGGGAGCACCGGCTGAACCGGCAGGCAGTTACTTGACGGTTAACGAACTAACTGACAGCGCCGAGTTCTCGAAAACATGTTGATACGATCCGTCGGATGAGATCCATCGAAGGTCGTATTGCTCTCGCGGAGGACATGCCACCTCACGTGCTCTCATGAATCTGACGGCTTCATTCACGGCGCTGCCCATCCATACTTCCGTTTAGTTCCCCCGACCTTGATTACGTTGACCCGAGAGCAGGGTTCGAACCCCAGCCCTTCGAGTCTCTTTTGAAATGCAATAGACAGTATGTTTCGGTCACTTTCATTTTTAGAATCGTCAGTTCGTCCTTCGTTCGCATTGATACCCAGAAAAGGGAATCGCACTAGTATGGGAAGGAACACATTTGATTTCTCACCATCGCACACATTAGTATGCGATGACAAGAAAAGAAAAGGAGAATGATAGTATCCGAAAATCAATTAAGGGATGAAAATTGAATGTTGGTGCCATGTACAAAGAGAATTATAGGGGATGATGCAAAGCTCTCCAAATATCGATGAAATCCGATGCCTCAATGCAATGAACCGAACTTGTGCTGACAAAAAGCGTACTAAAAATAATTATGATGTCAAATCAGTATTCAAAGTTTGTTCTTTGGGAGTAGGGCGGGGAAGCTTGAAAGAGCCTACCTATCTCAATTTCATGTCATTATAGGTACTATTTTCTTAATAATATGTGGGATTCGTCAATATCTGGGTCATTTTACCCCAAAGCATCACTTTGGCTTTGAAGCAGCTGCTTTTTATTGGCATTTTGTTGATGTTGTATGGCTTTTTCTCTTTGTTTCTATATATTGGTGGGGCGGAAATTAGGGCGAAGCGTGAGGAGCTAGACGATGAAACGTTTTATAAACAATAGCACGAGATCTCGTTTTTTTCCCATCAATCATGCAAATGTGAACCAATTTTTTTATTAATTGTTTTTGTTTACCATTCGTCACCCAAGATTCAAGTCAGCACCAAAGACAAAATGTAGATTGTTCCAGACCTGTAGAACCAGCCCTCCGGGCCTCCTTCTTTGGGGTGGCGCCCGCTCCCTACGGGGCCGACCCGCCGGGAGCCGAAATGGGTGAGAAAGGAGGGACTGGGGCATAAGGGCAGGCTGGCGCTCGGACCACGAAAGAAATTTTTTTTATTTCGGCTTTTTGCTACCACTTCCGAAAAGAGCCATTTGCAGAGCTCAGGTGCCAATGGTTAGTTGCTGGTTGACAAGGACCGAAAGAGTCTCCGATTCGCCAGTACAGAACCTCATCTTAAATACAAGAAAACCGGCTTGCTCCGTGAATATAACCCTCATTGTACAAAATTCTACAAAAATCCCAACAAAGACGCGAAACGAAAACTATAGTACACGTAGAAATCACATTACGTTTGACAAAAATTGCATTTCGGATGGTCACAAGAGATTTAATTTACAATAAAATGGAAATTGTGGATTTAATTTAACAACTTTTACTTATTTTAGACATGTATCACATAATACAGGCAGAAGTAATTTTACATATTTGAAACTTTCTAAGCAAAACTTTTTAAAAAATTATTTCCTTGATATTTTCTTCAATTAATAATATTTCTTGACTTTTTCAGATTACATAAGGAAAATCATAAATATTTTATGTTCTAAAAAATGAATTCAATGTATGAAAAATTCTATTCCAGATTTGTGGAAATAAAACCAGTACTTCATATCAATTTGCAAAAAAATTATAAAACACTCAAGAAACTAAAACCATCATCAGTTGAAACAAATATCAAGGTTCAAAGAATAGAAATAACCTCTGAAATGAAAAAAATATGTTGAATTTGATCTAAGTGTTTGCTCTATATAAAAGCTTCTAAACAGCATAGACATTGAAATATACTTTATTCTTGCAAATGAAAAAATTCTTATATCATTTTTTAAAAAGATAATGAAAGGTGATAACAATTGATTATATTTTTTCATATATAAATATGTAAAATATTTTTGTTTTAGATAAAAAATTATTATCTCATTTTTTTTTGAATATTTTGAATAAATCAAGAATTTAATCTCAAATTAAAAATTATTCATATACCCAAAATTTAATTTCTCGAAATGATATCAATTTTAAAAATATAATGAATTATATACATGTGTTGGACAAGTATTTTTTTCAGACATGATGTAATATATCTAAGCATCAAAAAAATTTCATAATTATGCATTTATTAAGATCTTTGTATACAAGTCTAAAGAAAGAAATTATCATTAGCTATTTACATTGATTTATTGATTTCACCAAAACTCCTATTTGTCAAGCTAATTATATTTGATATCCTTTTATCTATACTGAGTACATATGACCCCAAAACTAAATTTTATTTACTTATTTTGAATTCGAGATGGAATTTATCCACACAAAAATGATTAAAGAAGTTGATACTTAATCTTGAAATGTAATGTTGAAAAAAAAAATGTCTCTTGTTACATAATCTAATGACCAAAAAAATCATAACGACATACTTTCAAAAATTAAAGTTTATGAACATTGTACAAAATCAAAACATATTCATATGTGGTTATAAATTTAAGTATTATAATTCAATATAATTATCACGTTTTAGGATAAAATTTTATTCGAATGTATTATTATAAAATTTAAATATAAATAATTTTTATTTTGATATAAAAAATTAATAAGATAATAATACTTAAATATTGAAATCTTAATTTGAATTGAAATAATTACTTTACATAAATTATACTGATATAATATAAAATACCTTACTGGAATTTTCAAAATTTATGTAAAATGGGAATACTAGAGATACTCTGAAAACTTTCAAGAATTTTTAAATTATTACTTTTAATTATACGATATTTTATGAGTTGAGTTAAAGTCATGTGATTTAGTATTAAGCATTTCAAAAATTAGAATAAGATTCTTCACTAGATTAGATATAGAATCTAAAACTGAAAATAAAAAATTATCATGATTTTTATACAAATACAGTATTTCATCACAATCCAGCCAATCAAAAAATAGGGAATCAATAAAAAAATATTAAAAATAAATATCAATATTAAATTTTCAACACATTTGAATGTGAGGGGATGTAGCTCAGATGGTAGAGCGCTCGCTTAGCATGAGAGAGGCACGGGGATCGATACCCCGCATCTCCACGATTTATGTTGCATTTTAGTTTTTTCCCATCAATTTGTTAAAATCCACAAATAGTGAAGATTAAGTTTCATGATGTACTTAAATATCACAACCAGTTAAAAGAGTGTGAAATGTGACTTAATATTGCAAAAGTGACTGTTTTATGTTGGTATTTGATTTAAAATCATATTTCTATAGTAAAAATTAAGGTTATACATGTGAGACATTGACTGCATTAATCCACCTAAGCTTGAATAGCTATAGAATAGAATCATTTGCATTAGATTCCCAATATTTATAGTTTGACGTGAAATGTATTAAAAAAAATTTATATATGAAGAAAGATATACACAATCATGATGAATCACCGAGGATGGTTAATATTCTTGAATTTTCAAATCAGAATAGATAAGAAGATACTAGGTAATGTCGTCCATTATAAATCATAGGCTTTGTTACACCTAGCTTAGAATTTGTTGAAAATTGTATGTTTTAGGAGTGAAGAAAGAAACATGAGTAGAATAGGGGCATCATCTGCGTTCTCCAATATAGCATGGACAACTTTTGTTGACAAAGGTAGTATATTTCGGAAAGTTGGATTGGTGAGATAATTCTAACTTTTATTCAAACTCGCAATATGAAAATTTCGAATCACAAACTTGACATGATTTGGAATCATGTGATGATATTCTCATGCAAGTGATAAACGAATCTTTCCCATTGGTATCAATGCTATAAACTCGTGTTTGAAGTACGTTGTAGTTTCAATATTTGATTTGATGCGACAAATATTTTTGTAATCTTTGTCTAATGTCACAACTAACACCAATTGTTTGGTATAAGAGAAACACACACACTCTGGCAGTTTAACTGCTAAACTCTGTGAGTAGCCACGTGTCTGTATGACGTGGACAATGAAGTATCCACGTACCTTCTTTTGTGGAAAATTTTTTTTTATTTCCAGAGTACAGTATCTGGTGATATTATTTTCCTGTGTACAGTGTCTTCGGACTTTGTATCGAAAACGTTTGTCCAAGGATGTCCGTTGTTGGTTAGGAAGTTGGCTCATTCGACATTGAAAATTAGTACCGTGAGCATGTCTATTGGCAGCTTCAATGAGAAAGATTGAGCTACAGATTTGTCCTTCCAGTTCTGCTGCCAATTCAATAGCGAAGTAGTTATCGATCAGAGTTTCCCCATCGTCAACTCAGTGAAAGGCCAGCAGTTTACGACTTAGATCAAAAAATATCAGGTCCTGCTAGTCTTCCTTACGGCATCACTGATGGTTGTAACATGAGAAACAAGAAGCCGTTCGTTTATAGCAATAGCGCTGGTTGTAAATGAAAAACAATAATCTCGAGTTTATTTGGTCTCGTTAGTGTATTTTCCGTGCTCTGAGTTGGAAAGTGTAACTGACTACAAGTCTTATAACTCTACTGAGAGAAGTTGTCAGACTGCTGAAAAGAGTTGTGACAAATTGGTTGCACAATCGTAGCGAGAGGAGCTGGGGGTAAGGCGTGTACAACATCATCTGAGTTTTACAAATGTGAGACAAAGTTGAATCATGCACGTATTTGGCGTCCCAGGTAGTGATCATCTTCAATCAATCATCCACATACTATCACAATACACCCACATATTCCTCACTGCTGGGCAAGGATCTGTATGACCTTGCCAGGACTCAACATCAATGTGAAATATAACCTACAAAAAGATGACACTTCTCTTCCCGTAAGAGCACACTATCAAAATTTGAGCAACTCCTACTTGAGTACTAGACTATTCCTATCTAAGTGCACCTACTTCAGCAGCACCTCTAATTGGATCTACCGCAAGGCCTGCTGAAGTTGAAGTACTTGTTGCCGTTGTTCGGGAGGGAGGGACATAATCTGCTCCGTGGTGAGATTCATGACCTGTTGCAATAAAGCCTTCTGTTGCTCCAGCTCAAGAGGGACCTGTATCTGTAACAGGCAGAGAACTTGAGCAACCGCTTCAACCAGAGTTGGGTACAGAAAGCAGTTAGTAATCAAATTAGGAGAAAGGCATGGCTAAATTACCTGCGGTTGCTGTGGGGCAGGAGGCGCTTGCAGTTGAACCTGCGAGTATGACTGAGGCTGCATTGCGGTTGACGTCACAGCAGTTCCATCCGTGGTCCCCACGAATCCTCCACTTTGTGAAAGATTTAAACCGCTGTTCATACCTTGGTTCAAACTAGAACCCATCCCGGGATTCAGCGCACTCAACCCCGAGTTCATGTTCGCATTCATACCTGGATTAATGAGGGCATTCATCCCTTGATTCACACCTGTGCTCAAACTCTGTGACATGCCTGTGTTCATAGGGGGATTCATCCCTGAATTCAAGTTCGTATTCATGGTTGTATTCATGGTTGTATTCATACCGGGATTCATACTGGAATTCATGGATGGTGTCATGCCCGAGTTGACTGCTGTGTTCAGGCCGGCATTCATTCCAGTATTCATGGCTCCCATTCCTGAGTAGCCTCGGGCATTTGGATCTCCCATCATTTGTGGCGGAGCTAAGTTACTAGGTAATGATCCGCCCATCCCAACGACTCCTCCGGAATTCCCACTCGGCATGGGATGCCCGCTGGCCATGGGTCCGGCTTGAGCCACGGGCATCGGAGCTTGAGCGAGGACTCCACTCACTCCAGAAGATGTTACTGATGTTGGTGGAACCTGATTGAGTTGTACATTACGGTTGTCCATTGCACCCAATCCAGGGCCTCGGTTCATCTGCCCCGTACCAGATGGACCCATAGTGCCTGTACCACCAGCAATTCCGCCGTTACCTTGACCAACTGGAACTCCGCCACTACTGGAGCTCATTCGCTGCATCGTTGTCCCCATCATATTTGAACCCATCTGCACAATTCCATCAACAATGCTTGACTGAAGCTCTCGAATCGAATGAAAATACTTCTCTCATGAGCACAGCATATGGTGAAAGAAGTCGCAGGGAACCCTACCTGGTAGAGTTGCTGGGGTGGAGGCTGGCTAGGTGGTGGCGGTTGTCCAGGCTGGAATGTCATTCCCATACTAGTTTGAACCATTCCTCCCTGTTGCTGTAAGCGCATAACAAAGTCATGGACACCGTCAAAAACGCCTCACTCTGTTTCCTGCCTAAGCAAATATGCACAGGAGTCTTGCTCTGCTTCGTGATAAGATCGCGTATGAGAACCTTTAAGAGCAGAATTCTAACATCTATATACGTTGGTTGCCAACTCATCGAGGTAATCGACTGACATGTTTCTCCGATGGTGATTGTGATATGTGACAGTACAAATACCTGAAATCCTTGAGGCAAATGAGATTGAGGCTGCGCCTGTGGTTGCTGTACTTGTGTCTGAGTTTGCTGGAGTTGCGGCTGCTGGGGTAGAGGTGGCTGAAAAGTAGATTTGTTTGGAGCCTGAGGTTGTATTTGAGCAGGAGGGGGAATATGAGGTTGGGGAGGTCTCGGTTGTTGTTGCTGCATCAAACTCGCAGGTTGTTGAGGTGGTGCAGGTTGTGTCTGCGGTTGCTGAGTTGCTACCTGTAGAGAACAAAACAAGTAAGCTACCAGTCATTCACTTTCGAGCCCTTAAACAATATACGTCTACTCACCTGAACGACATTGAGTTATTGACCGCGTGTCAAATACATCACTAACGTAAAGCATTTCTTGAACCAAAACTCTAACCCTTAAATCTTGTGTATGTCAGCAATGTTGAGATGGCTATTAAATCCAGCGAAAATGTATATGCACTCAATTGCACGAGCCATAGTCAGTTCGATACCACTTGTTGAGGTCGCACCATCCCCAACATAATTTGAGCCTGCATTTCGAACACTTGAACATTAGAGGAGAAAAACTTTGTGATCACGTAAAAGAGGATGTACGATCCATTGCGTCAGCAGTTTAATTGCTCACAAAACGAACTGACCTGAAATAGAGCTTTGGTCAACTGAGGGTTCGCCACGAGAATCTGGCGTGCTTGCTGCTGGTTTTGCTGGATCATTATCTGTGAGTTCACAAAGCAAGCTTGTAAGTAGGTTCGGTATGATGATCGATCGCTTGAAAATGAATCAGAATGCCTGATGAGAAAGAAAGATGTACTTTCACCCCAAAAACAGCTAAGACTGGTGTATGATCAAGGGCCAGTTTGTAACAACGAACCTTCATCTGAGACATTATTTCATAGAGTTGGTGCTTGGACATGCCAGCCAGATGATTGGTAAGTGCATCTGTTCCTGCGACTGTTCCTCCATTTCCAGGGACAAGGGCGGGAGGTGCGCTCATTGTTTGTAGCGGCCCTTGAGCCGGAACCATCATGTTGGGAAGTTGTTGTGCACCACCCAGAGCCCCTGCCATCATTAATGCAGCTTGCGATGCTGCTGCCCGGCCGATGGGCTGCTCTGAAGTACCAGGCGCTCCGGCACTGACGAAAGGCTGAGGAGCTCCAACACTCCCGTGCTTGAGCACATCTGCCACGAGACGAATGACCAATTCAGCCAGATTCACAGAGGCGCCTTATTTCTCTTACTATAGCTGCCTCAACTCCAAAACCGCAAAACGTGACACCAGATCAGCGTGAAACCCTACATTCACATGGTTGTTGCTCCCTACGACCGTAAGGTTTAAAAGTAACGGTACTGACCAACGTTAGAAGCAGCTTGCTGAAATCCTGGTCCACCACGTCCCTGCTGCAAGATCATGATCCGAATTGTGGACTAATGAGTACGGAACATAATTGTTCCCATTCACCTCCTGGACAAATTGATACTCAGGAGCTTCCCTACTTTCTCAAAATCACTCCTCGACAATTAATTACAGAAGATAGACTCTGGAGAATGCAACAACCATGTAATTCGAAGTAAATACCTGATCCCGACTTCGATCTACACCCCCTCCCCCTTTCTCATTCTCGGCAAAGTCAACCCGGAGCTGCCGGCCATTTATCTCATAACCCTGTAAATTACGTCGAGCACTTAAAGCGGTCTCCTCATCTCTGAACTCGCAAAACCCATAGCCCTTAGGCTTTCCAGTATCTCTGTCCACTACCAGTCTGGAAAAAACAGTGCCCTTCCATCAGACAGTGACTCAAATTGGAGCTCCATATTTTGACTCAGGGAGGAGTGATACTTTCAGAGCAATGTACACTTGAATCATAAGTTCATTTTTCATAGCGTTATGATAGATGTACCAATCACATCAGTTTAGGACGACCATGTATTGTACGACATCAGTGGACGACAAAGTACTCCATGCAATTTGGATAGGCTTCTGAAAAGTGGCAGCGCAAGGTGACCAGTGGTATACATCATGCAACGAAGAAATCACTAAGAGATAGACAATCTGCGAAATATTGATTCATTGTCTCATACAAACAACGAAGCTTGTGCGCATTGTGTACCACTTCAGTAAAATTTGGTCCGGCCCAGATACTAAAGTCTCACACGATAGAAAATGGCACCAGTGCAAGTGGTACATTGCATGGACTTGAGCTCTCAAGAACATCCACTTGATCACAACAATAGAAGAATCGGGCCTACACATTTGGAAGATTTCCGCCAAAGAAGAGAGCTAACAGAAAGGTCTCTTCCATCATTCCCAATATGCCAGATTAACACCAGCCAAGTGAAGTGACAGGCGGTATAGACACACAGAGATACGAGACAGGAGATAACCACACAGTTAATTATCTAGGTAACGCAAAGACAGGCAAGTTGAAAGGACAAAGAGATTGTGAATCAGGCTTGGCACGTGAACGCCAACTATGATGAACAAGACTATAACCCCAACTTTGAGCCTTGTATACCTACAGGGCAATTCAAACAAATGAGCAAATAACATCAACGATGTAAAAGAGAGACAAGCAGTTGTGTTAATCGACATTGTGTGTATCAAAAGTGAATCCCACAGAGTAGACACCTTCGAGTTAACATAAGGATTGTCATTGTTTGGGGAGATAGCATGGGCCTACCAGCAGTACACGTTCGAGATTGAGATGGACACGGTAGTCAAAGTGGATACAAGAAAACGAAAAGATTATTTGTATGTCTGCTTCGTTGCGCAGAGGCATTCACCACTTGAGCATGTATCCACAGTGCTTGCTAAGAGCATGTGTAGGACAGATTTTGCCAACCAAGAAATAAACACAAGTACCACTGAAGTCTGCTCACTCCGTACCCCATTTCATGCGACAAGAGAAGATTCCATTCGACAGAAAACGCGTGTGTGTACATTTGGAGTTGGAGTTCAAAAGATCAACCATAATGAAAAATCTACGACAATGGCTGTTTAAGCTCAAGCTACTACACCCTGTTTACTCAGTTTTTGTTGCTAAAAATGAGTATACCGGAAGGACACCACAGGGCCAACTTCTTCACAGATTTGCACAAGCTGCTCCTCTGTTGCATCATACGGTATATTTCCCACTGTAACAAACGAGCACAACGTATCAATAAAGCTTTCGCATCACAAGGGAATCCACCACTGCTTCACACTCCTTCTATTGCTTCCTCCCCCATCGTTTGCTCTCTCAACTGCTCTCCGAGGAGATTATGATGTAACTGATTTCAGTTCTCTCTCGTTATCTTCGTCTGTTCATCATTGTGGCTAGATTTACAAGTTGGACAGACACCCGGCTCTGGGCATTCTTTTGCATAAAATGAGGAGGCTTTCCCCGCACAATCCCCGCATAGGTTGACAACACTCACTAGACTAGTAGCAAGAGATAGCTAGCACGAGCTTGTGTGACCTAAAATCTAGCCCAGAGGTCCTAAAAGCGGGAGGCGCAGAAAAAACGAGGGCGACACTTCACTTTTCGAGCAAAATCATGCAGTCGGACGACAGACCGACGGTATGCACACGCTGAACTAATACTCGAACAATTCAAATAACACATCAGAAGCATCCGAACGACTAAACACGACGATGCACAATGCAGGCGTCGAACGACGACATGAGATTACGCACCAAAGACGCAGCGCGAAGCGCGATGCTGCTGGCCGCTCATGACCTCGCGCCTCTCTCTGTCTCTACCGATCTTCAAATCTCCAGCAAGGCCTCGCTAGAAAAAAAAACGATGCCGCGTCGGCATCCACTTCAATTCCACACACCAGAATGACTAGAACCCGTGATCCTCCATCAGTCCATTCCTAGCCTCCCTCACCTCCTCCAGGTGGCCACGACTCAACGCTAAATGACTCCCAATCGCCCCGCATACAAATTCCAACACTCGCGCCGAGAGCTAGCAGTATATCCCAGCCTTCGAGCCTCCGCTCCCCTCCCGTCCCCTCCACTCTCCACTTCGACTCGAGCTCCACTCCGCTTCGCCCGGAAGTGCGCGTCTCAAGAATGGAGAGGGCCCAACGGACGAACATAAGCACCACAACGTCTCTCGTCGGTCCTTGGCTTCTTCTTGGTCTCGTTACCAGCCCCTCCGCTCCCGCCGTATCCCCTTCCATCTTTCGCCAGGACCGGCCTGACTCCTGTGCTTTCCTCAGTGTCATTAGCGCTAATTGGTGATTAGTGCACCTCAAAGCAGGTCCATCCGTTCTCTCTGTGTTGACTTCCCTCTTTGCAAAAATTCCGATTAGCCACGTACTGTACTTAAGGAGTTAGGACCTTGATCTGCTCGTGTCCCCGAAGAATATGTCGTGAGTTCACCATTCATCATTGAAGACTTCGTCATCTGATGGAGGCTGATGCGTCTTCACCCGTCAACTCTACTTCCAGATGCATTTATTAAAAATCTAATCTAACTGTAAGTCACAAGTAATTAGGGTTTATGAACACATTTTGATTTATGTGGGTAGAGTCACCTCTACCGGATTATTGATTTATATTGATCCACTTATGTTTTTTGCGAATCAAAAGAATGCGTTGATTTTGAGCTTGGATGGTTCTTCACGCAAGCGCGGAGAGGGGAAGGTGAATAGTTAGTTACTCGGACAGCAACCGTTGTGTAACAATCTGAATTTTGACTTCAGGTTTCTCATTAAAAGAGAGGATACCTCGGATATTGCACTTGCTGCAATCCTCTGGAGCTCAGAGAGATTTGAACATATGATATTTCTCGTGTTTAAGGTTTCCACATTCTTATATGTCAATCAGAACCTCTACCATGATTATTATAAAAGACAAAAGACGGAAATTGAAATATTCCTAAATAATATCAATGGCTACTTGTAACACTAGGGTTTAGAGAGAAGTTCACTCGAAGATAGAAACGTAAACTCTGAAGATGAGAGATACCAACAATGGTTCTCCTCTCCCTTATATAGCTCTCACCAACAAGTACAAGGTGATAAGATCTAATCCCCACCATCCATACCACTCCTAGTGGATGGATGACGTGGCGGATAACCCTAACAAGCACACGGATCGCTGACGTGGCGCACCCAACTAACACACTAACTAACACACTCAATCCTTACCTACAAGCACACGGATTGCTGACGTGGCACTGTCAACTAACACATCCACTCTGTACCTACCAAGTGCGCGGATCGCTGACGTGGCAGCTATGACTAGTGCACACTAAAGTATCTACATCAATATTCAGAGTAACCTCTACTTTAGTTCTAACTAACTAAAGATGGTTACAAACCTCCCTCCTTTTAAGATGCAACGTCCTCGTTGCACATACGTTCAAACTCCTGAACTATCAAAGGTGCATTTGCTAAATTTTTAGCTGGTTCCCAAGTTGATTCATACAATGGATAGCCTTTCCATTGAATCAAATACTCTACTTTGGGATATTTATGACCTCGAATACGTTTCTTCAGTATCTTTTCTACCTCAAACTCCTCATGATCTGCTATCAAGGTTGGAAGAGTAGGTGGTGCTGGTTGATTGGTGAATTGTTTTGGTCGTGGTACATGTTTTCGCAATCGTGACACATGAAATACTGGATGTATTTTCATATGTGACGGAAGTTCCAACTTGTATGACACTTCACCAACACGCTTCAAAACCAAAAATGGACCAATGTACCTAGGGTTTAACTTTGGTGTTCCTACAAGAGACAAATTCGTTGTAGATAACCAAACATGATCTCCAACCTCAAAAATCACTTCTCTACGATGAGCATCGGCATGCTGCTTTTGCCGATTTTGAGCTATCACCAACTTCTCCTTGGCCTGATGTAGTCCTCGGTGAATATGCTCCACGAATTCGTTGACTGCTGCAACTTTGGTCGAAAACTCCTCTCCTTTCGGAAGTCTCATCAAACTTGAAGGAGTTATCGGATGAGCTCCATACATAAGAAAAAATGGAGACACTTTTGTGGATGCATTAACAGAATTGTTATATGCAAATTCCACAAGTGGCAAAAGGTTGTCCCACTCTTCTTGCTCTTCTAATGTGAATGCTCGTAGCATATCCTCTATGGTTCTATTTGCCCTCTCAGTTTGTCCATCAGTTTGAGGGTGATAGGCCGTTGACATTGCTAGTTTTGTTTTGAAAAAACTAAACAAAGTTTTCCAAAATAAACTAGTGAAGTGAGTACCTCTATCCGTGATTAACACTTTGCTTAAGCCATGATTCACAAAAACTGCATCTAGATACAATTGAGCTAGTTGTGGAGCTGTTACTGTTTTTGTGGTTGGCCTGATGTGAATCATCTTGCTCAATTTGTCCACAAAAACCACCACTGAATCATGTCCTAACGAAGTCCTTGGTAACTCACATACAAGATCCATGGTGACATGTTCCCACCGCTGTTCGGGAATAGGAAGAGGTTGTAATAAACCCGCTGGTTTTTGATTACTTGCCTTGTTTTGTTGACAAGCAACACAACTTCGAACGTAAGACTCCACATCCTCACGTATTTTGGGCCAATAGTACACTCGTTGTATACTCTCCACGGTTTTCTCCACTCCCACATGACCTGCAATGGCTGTATCATGACTTTCTGCCAAAATCATTGTGCGCAAATCGTGATCTTGTGGAATCCATATACGCTGATTGTAAAACGCCAAACCTCGAGATTTCTCTGCCTTTCCAGTTTGTAGTGCTCGAGTGATCTCTTCATCCTCCTTTGTGGCTTGTGACATCTTGCTCCACCAATCCGCCTGAATTTTCACTTCTGCAACATGATTCAAACAAGGCATGCGTGTGAGAGCATCTGCAAGTTGCTTCTTTCCCTCCACGTACACAATCTTCATGTTGAAGCGTTGACGCCACTCTGCCCATCGAATTTGTCGTTTGGACAGATCCTTCTGAGTTTCCAAATAAACCAAGGGTTTATGATCAGTCTCCACCACAAACTCCTTATCACCCAGATAATGCTTCCAATGTTTGGTTGCCAACACGATAGCTAACTCCTCCCGTTCTGTCGTGTGATAATTTTGTTCCGCCGCCACCAACTTTCGAGAATAGAAAGCAACTGGATGCCACCCATCCTCCCATTCTTGTTGAAGTATGCCACCTACTGTTGTACCTGATGCGTCAGTGGCCAACTTGATAGAACGGTTAGGATCATACCACTTGAGAATAGGTGCGTGTAACAAAGCATCTTTCAATGCTTGAAAAGCTAACTCTTGAGCTGTTCCCCATCTCCACTTCTGACCTTTCCCTAACATGGAAGTCAAGGCCTGAGCTAGTCGAGCAAAACCTTTCACAAATCTACGATAGAATCCAGTGAGCCCTAGAAAACTCTTCAATTGAGTTTGATCCTCAGGTGCTATCCATTTCTGAATGGCATCTATCTTCTCACTCATCACTTGGATTCCTGTAGCTGTAACTCTATGACCCAAGTAATCTACTTCTGACTTGCCAAATTCACATTTTGAAGCTTTGGCATACAATTGATTGTCTCTTAAAACTTGAAGTACCTCTCGTAAATGACTTCTATGATCACTCAAAGTTTTGCTATACACCAATATATCATCTAGAAAAACAATGACAGATTTATCTAGATAAGGGCGAAAGATATCGTTCATCAATCCCATGAATGTAGCTGGTGCATTAGTGAGACCAAAAGGCATCACCAGATACTCAAAGTGTCCATACCTAGTACGAAAAGCTGTCTTGTGAACATCTTCATCTGCAATTCGAATTTGATTGTAGCCGCTTCTCAAATCTAGCTTGGTGAAGTACTTCGCTCCTTGAAGTTGATCAAACAAATCATCCATACGAGGTAATGGATATTTGTTTTTCACCGTTTGCTGATTCAACCCGCGATAATCGATACATAGTCTCATGGATCCATCCTTCTTCTTCACAAAGAGTACTGGAGCTCCATAAGGTGAAACACTTGGTTGAATGAATCCCTTGCTCAACATCTCCTCCACTTGAGCTTTGCATTCTTCCAATTCGTTTGGAGCCAAACGATATGGAGCTTTGCAAGTTGGTGTACTTCCAGGTATCACCTCAATCTTGTGATCAACTCGCCTCTTTGGTGGTAATCCTGCAGGTAGATCATCTGGAAAAACATCTTTATACTCCATAAAAATGTCGTTCAAGGACTCCGGGATGTAAGGTTTGTCCGTGGACCCAATATCTCTTATAAGTCCAAGGAAACATACATCATCTCTAGAAATGGATGCTGTACCCATCACAAAGAGGGGTAAATTCCTATTCTGAGATCTAATTCTATCTCCATAGATCTTCCATCCGCTACTTGTAATCACTTTTCTTCTCCAATCTACCTTCGGATTATATTGTTCCATCCATGGCATTCCAAGGATGACATCATACCGAGCTAAACGAATTACTCTCCATTCAATGCTCTCCTTGTATCTACCTATGGATAATTCTACACTCCGTGGTAGTGTTTCTATCACTTCAGTTTGCCCGTTTGGCAATTCAACTTCTTCACTCACGTCCTTCATCAACATCAAACCTAACTTCATAGCAACACTCCTTGATAGAAAATTCTCAGTTGCTCCAGGATCAATTAAAACTCTCACCTTGTGTCCTTCCATGAAACCATCAGTGACAATGAGTTGAGCTTGCTTCTTACTCCTTCCATGAGCTCCCAACCATTGCTTTCTTCCAACCTCGCCTTTTCTTCGCTTTGTAGAACCAGTAAGGCCGCGAGGCAAGATTACTGGTGATCTTCGTTTCCCGAAACTGCTTCCTCCACCTCTTCATACTTTATCCCCTCCATATTGTTGAACGGTCGTCGCTGCATGGGCCGTCCTCCTTGTTGTGTCGGCCGAACTCGACAAAACTTGGCTATGTGACCCATTCGTCCACATGCATAGCATTGGCGATTGTCACGAACTCCAGCTCCTCCTTGAACCATTCCATTATTTGCATAACCTTCTTGCAAATTTGGAACTCCTGGTCGCCTAATCTCACCTCCAAATCTTGGTGGTGGTCCTCTTGTTGGTGCAAAACCTTCTCTACGTCGAAGGTTTCCCAACTCCATCGGTGTTGGACCAGATGGA